TGTTCTTGCACAAATTATACTTAGCATAAAAAAGAAAATGAATGCAGCCATCATATCTAAGGGCTGGTAAGCTGTAATATATTATTTTTTACCCTTGGGTTCAGACACACCTTAATGTGGTAAGGGAAGAAGACATTACCCCTTCATGTCCAGGGATAACCGATAACCTAGCCTGGATTCATATAAATGTGATTGTGGTAATATCGGTTAAAACCCGCATTTTAACAAGACTTATCAAAATGCACATTAACGCATATCTGTGCATTGTGATGCATTCATTCTGAATGCAACGGTACAGACTATTACATACGTGCTGCAGCCCACCTCAATGCTCAGATGTGAATGCTCTGGGAATTGTGTTGAACTGCCTTGCCCAAAAGTGGTATCAGTGCGCTATTGTGTGTTAAGGATTGTTAGGGGCTATTCAAAGTGAATAAGCTGCTTAACGCATAACCCTCATGGGTTAGGTGCATGTTGTATACTGTTTCTTCCTCTGCACTATCTCCCTTTGCACCCCTTTGCTGTGTTTTGTATGTTTCCTGCCCATCATTCTGTATTTCTTACCTGCTGCAACCCATCTCCACTTCCATTCTCCCTTGCACTAGTTAATTTGGTTTCTGTCTCTGTCTTTCTCTCAGTGTGGCCTGCTATGGTGTTTGCGCCCTTATCTGTTACCCCCGTCTCCCCTCGGTCCTGTGTTTGCACTCTGGCTTGCCTGCCTGTGCAGCTCTGCTCGGTTCCTACACTGTCTTGCTCTCTCTATTGACGATTCATGCTCCTTATCAATTTGTAGTCATTCATTGCCTTTCCTTCAGCTCGGGTTCATTTAATAAGGCAAATAGGCTGTTCACTTTGCAAGGGACTTTTCTTTAACTTAGTGAATGTGGTGACAAACCAATCATGTGCAAAAAAAAAAACTATTTTTGCTTGCAAATGATTGGATGATATAAGACAGCAGAGCTCATTCACTAAGCTAATTCCCCTGCAAAGTGAACAGCCTATTTGCCTTTAGTAAATAAACCACCATACTGTACTTCATGAGGTTGATTTACCAAAGGCAAATAGGCTGTTCACTTTGCAAGGGAAGTAGCACTTTGCAAGAGAATTTTCTCTTAACTTAGTCAATGAGCTGAAGACTGCTGGCTTCCATCATCTAATTCTTGCATCTGTGCAAGAAAAAATACATTTTCTTTTATTTCTCTTGCCCATGATTGGGTAATCTTGACAAAGTGAATTTTTACCACATTCACTAAACTCACTAAACTAAAATTCCCTTGCAAAGTAAATTTGTCTTTGTTATATCAACCTCCGATTGTCAGTCATTGTTTATTGTCTGTTTGGCTCTGTTGTGGACTCAATAAGCCTAAGGCATCAGTTTTTTTGTATAAATACATACATTGGTAAAGATAATAACTTATATTTTAATATAAATATTATAACATATTTACACAAATTAGATATCAATTAATTACCTTGACTGACTTCTTCAATAACTGATCAACCAAATTAGTATATATAAGCAACCTATTTATAACAGACATCAATGGGTGAAAAGATATCAAATGAATGATATGCTGTATGAACTATCAGGTTCCCAGAATACTTAAAGTGGAACCCCTGAAAACATGTATTTTGACAAATAAAATATATTAATATATTAGAATATGTTATTGTTTACATTGAATTGACTAATGAATAACACTGACTAATAAACAACGTTGTCTTTTAAACATGCAAAAGAGGAACAGCATCCAGTTATAATTAATATGCATGCGTTCTAGACTGCTTTTCCCTTTAGATTTGAGAGTGTAACTAGAACTTCTACAGTTCCTCTACCAGACATTTATTTCAGACTCATTTATTTCACCAAACCTTATCGCCTAGACCTGTCCCATAAGCCTGTTTTGATAGCATTGATTAAAGGAGTGCTGTATTTTATCCATGTGACAGCAGGAAAAAATGTAGGGCACCAAATCAATCTACAAACGAGGGAAAATTGAACATAAATAGGGACTGGATAGACATTGCAAGCAGGCGTCATTGCTTTAGGTAGTGAAGATGCTACATTTACCACCAGATGTCAATAACTGTATAGTAAATTATATTCTACTTACCGTATATACTCGAGTATAAGCCGAGATTTTCAGCCCATTTTTTTGGCTGAAAAGTGCCCCCCTCGACTTATACTCGAGTCAGCGCCAGCGCGTCTTCTTACTTACCTCGCCGAGCGTCGCGTCACTGCTGCTCGGTGTGCGGCGCTCCGAGCGGGGTCATCTGGCAGTCTCCGGGTCCTAATTTAGGTGGCCGGAGACTGCCAGATGACCCCGCTCGGAGCGCCGCCCACCGGAGCAGCAGTGACGCGATGTTCGGCGAGGTAAGTAAGAAGAAAAGAAAAAAAATCCTGCAGCGCCAGTACAGCAGGGGAGCAGGGATGTGTCAGCGGCACGCTGGTCAGACGAAAGGAGCTACAGGTAGGGTTGTAATTATCGGGCAGGCACCTCTAGTCAACTAAATTAGGACCCCACCTGGAGCTCCTCCCACTGGACCAGCGCGCCGCTGACTCGTCCCTGCTCCGGCACAGTGAATCACAGTAAGTGAGGGGAGATTTGGGGGGATTTATTACAGTAACCAATTATGTATTGTCTGCACTGTATTAGCAGTATATACTCTATATGGAGTATATACTGCTAATACAGTGCAGACAATACATTTACAATGATACTAACATGAATGTATTAAATGATCTGTATGTAGCCCTGTACTATGGATCATTTAACCCATTCATGTTAGCAGAGGATCATTGTAAATGTATTGTTGCAGGCACTCTATATGTACATGTACTATATACTACATATAGAGTGCACTGAACAATAGATTTACAATTATCCTCTGCTAATATGAATGGGTTAAATGATCCGTAGTACATGATATGTAGCCCTGTACCCCCTTTTCCACTTACAGAGCTAGGTTATTTTTCTTTTAAATAAATATTAATGTAATTTTATTGGTATCTATCTACCATTAGCTGCCTCATTTCCCACCCTCGGCTTATATTCGGGTCAATACTTTTTCCAAGTTTTTTTTGGTAAAATTAGGTACCTCGGCTTATATTCGGGACGGCTTATACTCGAGTATATACGGTACATTAACTACGTGTTAAAGAGCAATTCAATCCAAATGGATTTCTCCATTTTGGGTAGATTAGATAAAGCTGAATCTGTGTCAGGATTTGGCAGTAAGGAAGCTCCCTGTCTTCCCAGCAAGGCCACAATTGGCAGCGAGTAAGAGGATGAGTAACTTCTTTGGCTGCAATTTTTCTTATTATATTGCTAGGGAGGACATAGTAGAGGGTAGAGCCAAAGTGGGAAAGACCAGTCATAGGACTGACCCCTCCACAGTGTTTGTGCTAAAGTAGTCTTTAAATTTGTGCAGTATGAACAGAAGTGGAGGGTCCCAGTGGTCATAAACACTACTAGAGGCCTTATGCCATAACACAGAGCAAAGCTGCAATGGAAAGTGCAGTATTCACAGCAGTCAATCAGAACTGATCTTTCATTGGTTTGTCTTAATTCAAGTAAATTATGATTGGTTGCTTTGGGGGTTGCGCTTTGTATTTATCTCCTTGCATAGTTAATTAAATAAAAACTGAATATCTGTGTTGCTACATGGCCCTTTTTAGCTATGTAAAGAAGAACCACTAACCACTATCTGTATCTCAAATAGAGAACATACGCCCATTAAGAAAAAAGGTAGGAGTTTTCTTGTTTAAACAAATTCTTTAGAATCCCTTTGTCTGCTATCCACACATTTTACCACTGCTCTTCCTGTGCATGTAGGTTATCAGGTCTTAATAGGAATTGGAACCTCCATTATTCTGCTGTGATATACTGGGTATGGACACGATATTTGAGTATATCAGGTACAGGGCTTGTTTTCTCCGCGTGTTGAAGGGTAGATACAGTTTTAGAGTTATATAACAATTTCAGCACCCTTATTGTTCAAAACAGTATCTTTTTTTTTTTGGGTTGGTACACATTAGTGCACCACAACTACACCGCCAAGAACCCAACTACTGTCCTGCTTCAGGAGTATGAAACTGATAATGACACCCTAACGTAGGCATATGTGTTGGCTGGGAATGATCAAATGATCAAAGTTAGGAAGTATAACTGATTGGCTGGAGTTTTTTTTATAAAAATTTAGCTAAATTAACCTTATTTTCCAAAGGTCATGCTACAGTCATCAGCCTAAAGTGAAAATTCCTAAACCAGCTAAAGGGTGTAAGTATAAGTAAATTGAAAATTTCTTATAATACTGCAGTGCTTAGATGACAGAGGTAATCAATGCAGAAAACTAAGGGTGGTAGATAATCAGTATCAGTCTGTAATTCTTGTCTTATCTTGATTGCGACTCTATAAATAACTCCAAACTAGTGACACTAAACTCAGAAGTTAAATGTTAAAAATGCATTCAAGTGTTCTAAGTATTAACAAAAATGTATCTTATTTGTGTATCACTTGGCTGTAGATCCTCAAATCATCTCTGAATTGGTGCTGACACTGTCCTTCCTTCTGCAGGGTGGCTACTTTTTTTCTCCATGGTCCCTGTGTGTGTTGTAAAGTAGCCACTCCAAGCTTGTTCCCGTAATGGACTATATCTTTAATACAAATTAGTAAACTAAACGTGAGATTGTAGTCCATCACTGGAGCAAGCTTGGAGTAGTGACTACTTTACAACACACACAGGGTCCATAATAGGAGAGACGGTGTGATCTACCAAGTGCTCTATCTTACTGACTACAGCCTTAGCTCATAGAGATGGATGAAGCCATGGGGCATAGCAAAATGCCCCATGCTGGTCCACTTGGTTTAATTTGCAAAAATACAAGATATTAAAATATAAAAATTATAAAATTATAATTATAAAAGCATCAAATTGATAAAGCATTTCTGCTGATACCTAGATGCAATTACAGTTTCTACAGGAAGTGGTTCTTTTACCTTTTTCCATTGGAATCACGTATGGCAGTCTTGCTCATCTCCTTGGAGCGGGTCTCGATCTCCTGGACTTGCTCTAGTAGAGTTTTATTATAGGTCTGCTTGGCCCTGCAGAGAAAATAATAAAATATGTCAGTCAATTCACACCACACATCGAGTTATGATACTGGACCCTGAGATGTGAAGGTCAGACCTAGATTTGCAGAAAGGCAACAGAGGCAGGAGCCTAGGGTGGAAAGATTTCAGGGGGTTGACCACCGCTGCTTTCTTCACGTTTTTTTTTTAAAGTTTTTCCTAAGAAGGGACTGTGAAAAATTAATTTTATTTTAATATACATCTAATTTATAAAAGCAGCCAAAGGGGGCAGACTGCTGAAGTCGGGCTGGTGAAGGTTCAGGCATTTTGGTGAAAGTATCTCTTCTCCTTGTTGATAAGCACATTCCTGTCTAATTCTTGTATCAGAGATATGTACATTCACCAAATCACTGCGTTTTCTTTCTTTAGTGCTTTTCTTAACTATTTAATTGCATTGATTAAAAAATTATCACACTCTTGGAAACCAAATGTGTATATTTTTTGATTTTAAGGGGTAAGGATTTTCTTATGCCATTAAGTTCTATAGCTTTAACACTCTTAACCCCCTTATGACCCATGATGGGATAATCCCGTCATGAATTCTCAAGGGGTTAAACAGACTCCCGGCGGCTTTTAGCCACCTGGATTTTGTTCAGATTTGTAGAGCAGGTGGCCAGCTTTACAGTAGAAGTTCCGATAAAGTGGCTTTTAAACCGTTGTGTATGGACGTTTTGGGGTGCTAAAAACTGTTGCAGTTTCACAGAAGCACACAATTTAACCTGGGCAGGTTGGGTATCTATTTCCACGTTGTAACCTCATTTTTTCTATTTATTTTTTTAAAAATGGTTTTATATTGTGTTTTGGGGCACTACATTTTACTTAAGTGCATTTTTCACTAAATTTTCAGGTTTGATAATAAGTTGCGCTAATGTCGTGCATCATAACAATTTGCTACTGCCACCATTTTATTCTAAAGTGTCTTGGCTTTCAGAAAATATATAATGTTTGGGGGTTTTAAGTAAAATTCAGGCCTTAAATGTGGATTATATCATATAAACAAAAAATGAAAAAAGGCCTTTGTCCTTAAGGGGTTTCAATCGTCCCAAAGGAATTAAGTTGTATATTGTAGTTATGACACTTGTCTGTTTCTTACAAATATCATCAGAAGATAACACACAAACTGACATATTTATGACTCTGATTTACAAATTCTGTGTCAGGTCTTTCCAGCTGTTTGGGTGCCAGAGAACTCTCCCAGCATGATCAGGATAGGCAGTTCACCAGGCAAGAAGGCTAAGCTCTCGTCCTTGACTATTGCAACTCCCTCCTCATTGGCTTACCTCTACCTCTAGGCTATCCCCCCTTCAGTCTATCATGAATGCAGCTGCTAGATTCATTCACCTGACCAACCGATCAGTGTCTGCAACCCCCCTCTGCCAATCCCTGCACTGGCTTCTAATAGCCCAAAGGATAAAATTCAAAATATTAACAATGACTAACAACTCTGCCCCGGCTATATCTCAAACCGTGTCTCAAAGTATCACCCCAACGCTCCCTCCGCTCTTCAAAAGACCTTCTGCTTTCCAGCTCCCTCGTCAACTCCTCCCATACTCGCCTCCAGGACTTCACTAGAGTCTCTACCATCCTCTGGAACTCTTTACCTCAACCTGTCCGTCTGTCTCCCACTCTGACTGCCTTTAGACGATCCCTTAAGACTCATCTCTTCAGGGAAGCCTATCCCACCTCAACCTAACCGCTCAACTATCACGTTCTCAGACAATTCATTCCCACACAGCTACCTCCTCATATATCACTTCCCCCTCCCTTTTAGATTGTAAACCCTCAAGGGCAGGGCCCCCCTTACCATCTTGTCTTGAATTGTATTGTGATGGTTATGTCCTCCTTATATTGTAAAGCGCTGTGCAAACTGTTGGCGCTATATAAATCCTGTATAATAATAATAATAATAATAAGCAGCTTGATGTCATTGGTTGCAGCTTTTCTCAATATATTAATTTGAAGCATATGGTTGAGGGCAAAAACTTGCCATAGGACTGCACCCTCCACAGTATTTGTTCTAAAGTACTTCATAAACTTGTATAGAAAGAACAAATGTGGAGGGTCACACTACTAAAGGCCTTATCCAATAAACACAATGCAAGGAGCAAAGCCCCAAGTAGAAAGTGCTGCACCCACAGCAATCAGTCAGAACCAATTTTTTTTGGTCTGTCTTGGGAAAAGTGAACAAACTGACACATGTTTAACTCAGTTTGCTTAGAGGTAATTATTTTAAAAAACAAAACAAAATAGACATAATTTTTACTCCATTTAGAGACAATAATTGTACATGCACAACAGGTCACATGGAAAAATACCCCTACAATTACAGAGCTACATGTTCTGATAATGGCAATAACCCAATGATTTACTAGCTGCATGGGCATCGTATAGGGCCAAATGAATGGTGTGCACTTAAACTTGAAGTTTTATTTCTCTGGTCTCTTATCTGTCACCATACTTTGTGGCCCAGAGATGTCAAAACATCTAAATCACCACAACAAAGAAACCAGTGAGAAAAGCAGTAGTTGAAGGACATGTCACAGAATTAACAAAGTGACAAAATCAATTGGAAACTCATCCTCCACCGAATCCAATTTAAAAAAAATGTTTTGGAATTAATGTAAATTTTGTATTCTAATGTTCAGAGACTTATATAGAGTAATTTTCTGCTTATTAGGACACGCCACACATATGCTTTACTTGCTGTGTGTGCATCTCATCTCTTAGGTTGGTGGTAGGGCTGGATTAAAGTGACACTAAACTCAAGAGTTTAACCTTAAAAAGGCATTCAAGTACCTTAACTAGGGGAGTTTACTCAGGAGTTAAATGTTAAAAATGCATTCAAGTACTCTAACTATTAACAAAAATGGAACTTATTTGTGTGTCACTCGGCTGTAGATCCTCAAATCATCTCTGAATTGGTGCTGACACTGTCCTTCCTTCTGGAGGGGGGCTACTTTTGTTCCCCATGGTCTCTGTGTGGTCCAAGCTCACTCCCGTGATAGACTACAATCTCAGGTTTACTTTACTCATTTCTATTGAGATTGTAGGACCTCCAGCTGAGGTGCAACTACAAATCCCATTAGGCATTGCAAGGTTCTGACAGCCACAGGCATGACTCCCAGAAGTAGATTCATGATGGGATTTGCTCTAAAGAGACACTGTCATTCATGACCATTTGCCAGGCCTGAAAAATATGCTTTACAGAGACACTTGTGGCCAATTGCCAGGCCTGAACAGTTTCACATGGGGTAAGTTATCCACCAGGTTAATCTCCAACACCATTCCACAGTTTACCCAAGGTAGACGCTTGTAGTGGGCAAGCAGTGAGGAAGCATGGATCAATGAGTATACCTTACTAGACATGTGCATTCGGATTCGGACGAACCTGCAATATACCAAAACTATATTCGGGCATACATAAATTCGTTTTCAGAACACACTGGCGGACAATATGCCCGCCGCCATCTTGTAGGTGGAGCATGTGACGTCACATGATGGTGACGTCACCCACTGAACGAGCGGTGGCCATATTGGCCGCCGGCGCATTCTGCGCATTTTGGAGTATATCTTGGTATACACCAAGATGGCAGAGCTCGAACATGCAGGCGTCACCATCTTGGTGTATACAAAGATATACTCCAAAATGGCGGCGGAACACACCGGTGGGCGATATGGCCGCCACTCGTTCTGCGGTTTCAGTGTGCAGTTTCGGATGCTCGTTGCCTCCGAATCTGAAACAACATAAAAATTTGTTTCCTTTGATGAAGCGAATGATGATGATTTTCGTTTTCATTTATTTCGTCTGAAAACAATTTTTTTTGTTGTGCACATGTCTATACCTTACTGGAAGGGTGGGCTATTAGGGGGCAGGTGACAGTGTCTCCCTAGACCAAACACTGCAATATTCATTAAAAAAATGTAGTCACTGAAACAGGGGCGCCCCGAGACCGGGTGTCACCTGGAGCGGTTACCGGGTGACACCCCGCCGTGACTTCACCGTGCATGCGCGGCGATCTTATTGAAACCTGCCGGTGGCCATCTTGGTGATGGACTCCGGCAGAGAGAGGAGGGGACAGACACCTGGCGGGATAAGGTATGCCGCCGGTTCCCCCCCTCTCCCGAAACTGTTGGGCGCTCGGTCCATGACTGAGTGCCCGACTTTGCAGAGGGGGGTGACACCAAAATGACTATCAATTATTTTGGTGTCACCCCTCCAATGGTGTCACCCGGGTGCGGGCCACCCCCCGCACTCCCCTTGTGCACTGAAAATACATTGCACTTTTGCTCACATGGCAACCTAAAGTCTCATTGCCTGGTCTGTAAGTATGTAAAAAAAAAAAAAAAATATGGCTGGTCCCCCATACATATAAAATCAAAATCTGTACACGGAAAAAGTTTTTATAAAGAAAAAAATAACACGCACTGGTGATATTGTTGACATCCGGCTGTACTACAAAGCCCAATGAAAAGGCTGTACATTCCTTTAACATCTATAATTGGGGATCTGTGTTGAACCATGCAGGTCTCTGTAAGTATTCAGTAAAATACAGTATATAGCATTTTATAGAAGGGTGTGTTCTTTCTGATATCTCATTCATCTGCCAGTGGAAAAGTTTTGAATAGCCACTTCGAACTTGTACACAGGATGTGTGCCTGAGGAAATACATGGCAGGTTAAACTGACAGCTCTAGAGCGCAAAGTCATAATTAAAGCGGAATTCATCTCTTCTTTGACAAGGCAAGACAACATTAAAAACATAAGGAAAAAAAAAAACTGCTTTCACCAGCAAGGGATGGAAAACATAAGACTTCATAAACAAGGAAGAGCATCTATAGGGAATGACACGCTCTTTAATTATTTACAGTCGCTGTGTAGAATTCTACAGGAGCCGTGCCAGCAGCAGAAGGGTAATATTGCCTCGGAAGGCACTCTGCAATGTCATAACATGTGGAATGAAGAGCCGAAAGGCA